ACTATATTAGGTATATAATCATTGAGTAATCAAATAGAAGGACCAATTTTTTTTATCATCAGTTAATTCTTAATTGTATAATAAAATTGATATGACATGATACACACACAAACTAAAGACTAAGTATTCTTTGGTTTGGAAGAATTGTGAAATAATCAAATTGTGAGGAATAACGTCACATAAAATTTTACTGGCGTCGGCCCTGACTCCTTGAATGCTGAATATCTGGTTCTAATGTCAATTTGTTTTCAGATTGGTGTGACCTCCTTCGGGCATATTACCGGCTGCCAGCGTGGTCACCCAGCTGCTTTCGCTAGAGTGACCTCTTACATCAGCTGGATCAACCAACGCCTTTAAGTAAATGGATAAATATAAAGACCAGAATACGAACAATTTTAATAAACGAATATTAATGAAAAATAATGTTTTACTTCAACAACATAGAAAAATAGAATATAGATGGAGATTTGATTCGTTTATTACTAACACACAAACAGTGGGTGCCTATGCAAGAAACACAGAATTTAACAATATTTCAATGTTATAGTTATTAAATCAAGTGCTTGTGTGATATTGAAGGTCTTTTTACCAAAAATTATAGTGTAAATAAAACAATGCTTTCCATAAACCGCACCATACTTGTGATACTTTTGGTGTTGCATGTGTACTAAGACTTCGATGACATTCCACCACGCCAAGCAAATGCTGTGTTACTATCATTGTATAATATGATTGGTGTAAAAAATGATTTAATGAAAGTTTTAATTCAATTTATTTAAATATAACAAACTTAAATATAACAACGAGAAGAAACAAACACAACTTAAAATTAACTAAAACTAAAAGAGTTAATAAAAAGACGAGAATAAATTTAATTCAATGATCTTGAGTGTGCCTAAAATTCCTAATCATTAATGGTTTGACGATTAATTTCCAAACATATTATCGACGAATTATCTTTCATGTCAAAGTGGGGTATTCCAATTATTGTCTTTTGATCACATTAATCCTATGATTGGTAAAGTTCTTAGTTCTAGATTAAAACCATTATTATTATTATCTATCTGTAAAAAGTATATACCTAAATATGTATTGCAAGCCACACCATACACTTTATTACTTAAAACCGTCAACATTTTTGGAATGTCCTTTTCTTTTTTTTTCGGAGGTAAAATCTTCAAATGACTTCGAATGACCTAGTGAGGGTAGTGTCAGACTGTAACTGACTGACTGACCTGACAAACCACCTCGTTCCTACTCCTGCACTTTGATTCGGAGCCCCGGCAACCCTTTAAATCCTCCGTGGCTCCGTATCAGCATCAGCCCTATTGGGCCCCATCCGTAGTGGTCTGATGGCTCGTTGAGACGCGCGCGGATCGCAACGCACCGTACGCTTGGGTCTGGTTCTGGTCGGGCGGCGAGCTACCCAGCTCGCTGTCCGCTGACCGGAGATCGTCCCGCGATCCCCGATGCCCGGAGTGTCCTTCGCGACGGCTGGGTTGGGAAAAGGCAGCGCTTTGCACCCTCACGCGCTCCGCCTCCTCCTTAGGTAGCATGACTGCTTTAAAAAAGGAGGAAACGGTATCCCAGTCCTCCTCGCTCCGCATCATGGCCCGGACTAGGGCCGAACGCGAGAGGTCGCCGTCGCCGATCACATCCCTGTAGGCACGGCAGTGCTCAGCCCATGCAGGGCATGCCCCTACTATGCGTTTTACCGTATCTTCAGGGCGGTCCTCGCAGTGTGACTTCCTTCGGACACATTGACGGCTGCCAATTGAGTCACCCCGCAGTCTTCACCAGTCACTTCTTACATCATTTGGATCAACCAACGCTTTTAAAGAAATGTAAAGTAGAACTGATAAACAATTTAAATAAAAAGTCATAATCGATCAATTATTGTTCTAGGAAGGTATTTAAAAATTTACGAATATTTATTTCTAAAATGTGAATGCAAATTTAACATTATATAACATAAAGGATCTACCTTTATGTTATAAAATGGTACACATGCTCTAAAATGTTCAAAAATCGAACGCCTCTCGATTCCGAAATAAACACGCTAATTTTGAGCAACATGATGACGCACATACATGCTACTGCTTGAGATTAGAATGTGTGTGTACCTTTAAAAAAGAAACACAATTATGTAGGTACTAAAATAAATGAGCCGAGTATTGGCTATGTGCGCGACAGTGGCGACGCGTAACGTTTACAACATTTGCGGAAGCTGTCAAATAATAACAATGTACCTAAACATTATAATTTTCTTTGCAAATATAAATAAAACCAAAGATTAAAATAGTATTGTTGATATTATTTAAGTGCAATTTATTCAATAGTTTTACTGTAAAGTGAATATTATAATAAAAACTGGGTTTGAAACTATTACACATAATATTAGTTTCCAACCACAACCTGAGACAAAAGGCAATAAATTAGTATTAGCCGAGCATGTAAGAAATGTGGTAGAACTGCGACATAACGGCCAGAGCAACGCAACAACAGTCATAGCCCATTTCTTTGCTTTGATTTAGTACTGCAATCAACACATTTGACAGCTGCTTTAATTTCTGCCGTGTTGTGCGCTGCGGTCGTTATCTGTCCGCCACTACTCGCTTTGCTCATAGCCAATAGTGGCTGGCTGCGGGACGTCAAAATTAACATTTGATTTATTTTTATGGTATTCGTCTTAAACTGTCAAACACCAAGCGGTCACCGGTGACCGCAACCTATTGTTCTATAATTGTGTCTACAAAACCGGTACTCGACGAGTTAATAGCGCTTAGAACAACCTAGCGCCATTATAAGATTGTGCTAAGCGCCATCTATTGGTTAATGCTCGAACTGTCTTTGTTTGTCACAACATACTCTTTAGGGAAAATACTATAAACACTTTCAAATCCAAAGCTTAAGAATTTCATCAAATAAATCTTATATATTTACTATATCATTGAAAATAATGATTCGTAAGTTAGGCAATTATAACTGTTTGCTATTGGTTTTAAACCGTAGAATAGTAGGTATGAAGATAAGTTAAAAAAATAATTTCAACGTTATTGTTTTCAAAATCATTTAATTCAGCGTCAGTTATAAAACATAAGGTTAAAAAACTTGAACTTAGCACAAAGCTAATTCACAAAAGCATTTTTAGTGGTACGTAATGACAAAACGAAGAGAAGGATCACGTATCCGTGATCTGTCTGCTCGCTCAGTGTCCATAGATATGTCTATATGCACACCAGCAACACCAGAGGAGCAAGTACATATATTGCTGGCCTTTTGGAGGATAGGTTTTAAGATTCTGAGATGAATTGATGATGGGGATAATTTAGTCGCCATAGTAATTTAATATTTTTTGGGTTGTGTTACATATTTTTTCAATATAATATAATGCAATAATTATTTATATAAAAAATCATACAAGCCAGTCAGAAAGACACTCCTATATTTTTCAAAACAAAAAAAGAACATAAATAGCTTTCCCTTTTGAAAGTGGCCTGCTTGCCACAGATAACATAAACATAATGTAACAGGTTGCAAGCAAAACGGAAGATTCTGTAATAGTTTGTATACTTAAACGCTTTACTCGATTTTCAAAATGAATCCTGTTTATAATGACAATATTTGTGACCCAAAACAAAATATGATAAGAAACATTATTCGCTATTTTATAATCTGTACTAATATTATAAAGAGGAAAGATTTGTACCTATTTTTGTATGTTTGTATGTTTGTATGTTTGTAATGACTATTCATTAAGTAATGTTTGCTCAAGAAGTACTGGACCGATTTAAAAAATTCTTTCACCAATACAATGCTACATTCTTCCAATTTGATATAGGCTTCATTTAATTTAAAAAAAGTTCCTTGGTAAATTTTAAACAATGTAACCGAAGGTGTAGAAAAATGAGTCTTAAAATGTCTTTCGTCGTATGCGCTGCCGAAACTATTAGCGATAGAACAAAATAATGTACAACAATATTGAATAACATCATAATGTCTACAAAAAACTCCGCGGTAGCATGTCCAACTATTGTAGTTATGTCACAACAACAATCCTTTCCAAAAATAAATAATTGTCTACCCCGTGCGAAGCCGGGAGGGGCTGCTAGTGTTTGATATTTGTGTGAGCGTCGTGAAATATAATAAACTAGCGACCCGCCCCGGCTTCGCACGGGTGCAATATGTATGTATTATACATACAAACCTTCCTTAAGAATCACTCTATCTATTAAAAAAAACCGCATCAAAATCCGTTGCGTAGTTTTAAAGATCTAAGCATACATACTGACATACAGCGAAAGCGACTTTGTTTTATACTATGTATTGATTGATATTGATGTATTGATAAATTACTATGCTTCTATGGTTTTGGTGGTTAATTCGAGATTTTTGAATTAAACCAAGAAAAAGGTAATTTTGTAGGAAACTGGCCCTATTATCACATTCCAAAAGGAATACGTCGAGTTATAAGTCACCCTTTATAGCAAGCAATACATAATTATAATAAAATAGAAACAAGTGGCTCAATGAGAACATTCTTCTTAAAAATGTTGTATGAAGTACATGCCAAGTCATGAAATGACGCTTTCGTTGGTTTTTGTGAGTGAGGTTGTCGGAGGCCTAATTATTCCACCCCCCCCCCCCTAGTCTCCTCAATCTGCGAATCACCCACGATCTTCAAATTACCAATTCCAAAAAGGCCGGTAACGCAGTTGTAATGCCTCTGGTGTTAACGGTGTCCATAGGCGGCGCCAATGGCTAACCATCAGGCGACCCATCCGATTGTATTGTCTAAGCGAATTTTAAAAAATGTATCAAACTTTATTACATGGTTTATCATTAATTATCATTTGTGGGGGTTTCCGATTGTCTTACAATCCTTCATAATTAATCCTTTGATAGATAGTGTTTCAAAATTAGATAGTAATCGTATTATCTAACAGTCAAATATATATATAAAGGCGATGCTTAGTGAAAACTTTACATTTATTTGCTCATAACCGTCGACATGAAGGTCCTGGCTGTGACTCTATTGGCTCTGGTAGCGGTCTCTTCCGCGCGGCACATCGACCTCGAAGATGTGATTGATCTAGAAGTCATCACTGCCTATGGTTACCATACCAAGGTTGGTGGCCCCTTGGCTGAGAAGATCCGCATAGCTGAAGAAGAAGCTGCCCGCAATCCATCCAGGATTGTTGGTGGTTCCACTGCCAGTCTCGGTCAATTCCCATACCAGGTGAGTAGTATTAACTTATGTGTTATGTTACTAGTCATATTTGTAAGAACCTTTTCCCTGTTGGTGGACTGATGCTGATCTCGATAAATCGGTCGACCCTCGTAATCTTGCGCTGATTTACAAAAATGAATAAAGATGTACTTCCTAAAACCAGTAAAAGATACGAAGGGGAATAAAATATATGGAGGGTTCAATGGTTTTAGCTTAACTTGTCGAGTACCGTCATTATAGACACAATTATAGAACAATAGGTTGCGGTGTTTGACAGTTTAAGAACCATTACCAACCAAAAAAAGTCATTCACACACTAACGGAGCAACACTTTCTGTAATTCACAAATTGTTCTATCCCGTCTGCATATCATAATGTATCTCAAATTGTATACATATTTATAAACCAACCACAACACAGGAGAAATTTTAGTAAGGGACAACATTTCTTTAAACTAAAATAAAAACCCTACAATATTCTAAGCTGAAATAATATTCTACAGGCTGGACTTATTGCTGCCATGTCCGGATGGAATGGTGTTTGCGGCGGTTCTTTGCTCAACTCCAGAAGGGTACTTACCGCTGCTCATTGCTGGTTTGACGGACAAAACCAGGCCAGAAGCTTCACAGTAGTACTTGGTTCAGTTCAACTCTACAGTGGCGGTACCAGGATGACCACCAGTAGTGTTGCCATGCACGGAAGCTGGATGCCTAGCCTTGCTCGTAACGACATTGCTATGATCACCTTACCTTCTGCAGTATCTACTTCCAGTAAGTATATTTGTTCTAAATAATTGTACATAATTAAAATTGATTTTGTCATCTTTGATCCATCACGTCTATAGTTCCACGGTAATCATGAGTTTATGATTAATTATGATAAGTAATATGATTTCAAAAACAGACGTTATCTATACGAACATTATTAATCATTAATCATTCAAAATCATAATAGATAATAGTTAACCACAACGATTATTTTAAAGTTCTGATGCATTTCCTATTTTTCTACAGACAACCTGAACTTCATCGCCCTGCCCTCTGGAAACGAGCTCAACAACCAATTCGCTGGTGCAACCGCAACTGCGTCAGGCTTCGGTCTCACCAGAGATGGTAAGAAAGTTATTTATGTGGATTTTGAAATTTAATGGACATTTTTTTCCCATGAATAATGGTGTTTGCCTATAATAAATGGTTACTAGATAAAGCTCAAACTAAATTCGTTTATGCAAAATTTTACAATCTACAGGCTTTTGACGAATGGTTGTTCTCCATTAATATTTAGTACCTAATTATAATTTTGTTTAAGGTGGAAGTGTTAGCGGAGCCCTCAGTCACGTCAACTTGCCTGTGATCACCAACGCTGTGTGCCGCAGTACCTTCCCTGTCTTGGTTCAGTCTTCAAACATTTGTACCAGCGGCGCTGGCGGCAGAAGCACTTGCAGCGGAGACTCGGGTGGTCCTCTTGTTGTGAACAGCGGTGGCAGACGTATTTTGGTGGGTTAACCTTATAGTTTTGTTCGAGATATCTAATAGCCACTATAAAATAGTGTTATTAATCTGCACGGTTGGCTGGGTAATTGCCCAGTTACTATGATGGCATGGCTGGTATGGACCAGCCGGTTAGCTGGTAAGCACGTGTTAAGGGGTCGATTCCCACACGAAACAATTACCTATTTGTTGTGATCCACAAGTTGTTCTAGATTTGTGTGTATAGTGTATATGAAAAGTTTAGCGTATGACAAAGGAGGAAATACAAGTCTTGGTAAAGGTTTTTAATAAAAAAAAATATTATATCATTTTCTTATTAACAGGTTGGTGTGACTTCCTTTGGACACATTGACGGCTGCCAGCGTGGTCACCCCGCTGTCTTCGCCAGAGTCACATCTTACATCAGCTGGATCAACCAACGTCTTTAAATAGATGAAAAAATTTACAATGGAGCAATATGACAATATAATCTTTTCAATTAAATACTCACGATGTTACTTAAAAATCTCTTTTATTTTTACCTATTAATGATATATCGTGTAAGATTAATATAGCCACTACGGCTAAGTTTGGTTTAGACGAGACACTGACATTTATCATACAATACTATATTCACAGAAGTGCCGGTATAATAAGTAGGAATAGTGAAAATTATCGTTCCGATTCGGCCAGTTAAAAGGAATCAAAATACAGACGGGATAAAAATCCTAGCCTTTAACAAAAAAACCACATTCATACGAGTGTTCACTGCTCTTACATTGCTACTCATCAAATTCCACATAGGACACTAAATTTACCCAATACAACTGGAAGTTAAGAATCAGTTCTAGTCTATTTAAAACAACCCTCTGTCTTCGCAGGCCAAGAGTAGTGCCCTCTTATTTTTATTAATATATGTAACAATTCCTCGCCAGAGCCCGTTTCCAAGGCCCTTGCAATCCCGGTTTTGCGCCACTTTTAGTGCCTATATATAAAAAGTATAAATATATAATATATAAAAACCAGTAATACTGTAAAAGTATAAATTCTGTCCTTTGAAAATGTACTATTACAGTTTTCAGTACAACATTCGCAGAGCATTCACCCTACAGAAGCGGGCCATAAGAACAATAGTACGTATACCTCAAACAGAGAGCTGCAGACAGTACTTTACGAAGCTAGAGATCCCCCCCCGCAATTTATGGATTGGTACTTTTAACTACTTTTTGGCAATATAGGCTAATAGCAAAAGACAGGGATAGTTGGAAATTTCTAAAGGAGGCCTTCACCTTCGAGAACGAAGGGTTCTTAAATATATTATGTGTTAATTTTTTTTTATTTTTTAGTTCTAATAACGTTAAGTTCATAAGTTGATTAGCATACTTAGTAAATAAGCATATACCCTGTAAATTATTTGAAGTAAGAAATAAAAGGCTTTTTTATTTTATTTTTTTAACTATGCTAGGCAAACATATTCACGAAGTTTCCTTGATTAAATGTGGTTAAGCACGGTTCCCGGTACTAAGCAAGACAACTGTTCAATAAGCTATCCAAAAATTTCAAGAGTGCCATTTATACGAGTTCTTTTATTGTGTATTTTTTTTCATAATTTGATTTCTGTTATGTTATATTATGTAATGTCTCTTTTTATTATTATTTCAATTGTTCTTTTATATGTTTTGATTTTGATTTTTTTTTTAGTGACATGACTTAGGAACATAGATTTATATTCCAATGTAATTTATTTTCTGATTATGAAGACATTCAGATATAATGTAAATTGTTTAATGAAATAAAAAAAAGATATAAAAAATAATATGGGTGTCACAACAGACACTGAAACCAAAAGTGTGAATTAAAACTTATTAATGTCTGTCGATTTGTGTATGTTCACACAGCACGCAAAAACTACCGGTCCGATTACGACATAACTCGGCGTATCATAGGTATATGTATATACATTACATCCTATCATATCACACTGGGTAGTTTTGATCCCAAAAAAGTATAAAAAAATAAACTTAATTGTGTTGCTCGATCCCTAGATACAAATAATGAACTAAACCCAAATATAAGTTTGTCGAGTGTTAGCTTGCCCGCAGTAGACCTTACGCTGTATCTATAGGACCGATGGTCGTAATTAGTTTGAACCGCTATTATAAGTGCGAAAATATGTGAGTTTGTGTGTTTATGTATATGTTTATTACTCAGTCACATCCAAACGGATGGAGGGAAAAACATCGCAACAGACTTAGATTATGGCCTGGAACTCATAGGCGCGCAGCGAGCTATGGAGAGGGCTATGCTCGGAGTCTCTTTGAAGGATCGAATTCGAAACGAAGTGCTCCAACAGAGAACCATAGTTATCGACATAGGTCAAAGGAACAGTAAGCTGAAGTGGCAGTGGGCCGGTCACATTTGTCGAAGAACCGATAACCGTTGGCATAAACGTGTTCTAGAGTGGAGACCGCGTTTAGGCAAATGTAGTGTAGGGCGCCCTCCAGCTAGGTAGAGTGACGACATCCGCAAGGTGGCTGGCAGTGGTTGGATAAGAATAGTTGAAGACCGAGCTCAGTGGCGTGCCATTGAACACGCCTATATCCAGCAGTGGACGAATACAGGCTCATGATGATGAACACATAGGCTACTTTTATCCCCAGGATCACGAGCTAAGCCGCTGCAGAAGCTAGTATTTTAATAAATAGTTTCTGTAGATTTTTCACAGGTTAGTTTTATCGCAACCAGATGTGGCAAGAGCAACGTTTCCGTTTTATTGTAAAGATCCTTCAAGAAGTTGCAATTCAATTACATGTTAGTGACTAATTATCCCTAAACCGGTACCTTAAAATTGTTTAACAACTTATCATGTGTCTCATTGAGAACGTACTTTAAAATAGTGAACTACGTTAAAATATTAACACTTCATGTGTTAATATTTTAAGGGTTTACTCACGGACAGTCATAGTGGCATTACCTAAATCAATCGTATTTTGTCGTTTTTAATTGTATTGTACCAATGATTTTTTCTAATTTAAATAACAAGTCTGGGAGAGCCACGCTTTCGATCGACTTTTAGTGTTTCGGATGTCTATGGGCAGTGTAGATTGCTTTTGCTTGGGTTAGTTGCGACCATCAAGTAATCTATCTATTCATTTACCAGATATGTCATAAAAAAAACTAAGTATTTTTTACATAACAGACATAACCACAGTAACTGAGACTCTACCGCTTCTTTACTGTTTTAATTTTGATCAACAATGTTTTTAAATAATTATAAAAATAATAAAAGTAAAGGTGTGTCACAAATGTGATTGATCATCATGAAATCATAACATGATTGATCACCATGGAATCATTTTAATACGTGGGGGTTTCTGATTGTCTCATAATCCTTCATAATTTTTTGATAATTTATATTGTTTCTAAATTTTAATCGCATTATCTAACTGAAAAGTATATAAAAAGGCACTGCTTAGGGAAAACTTCACATTTTGCTTACTGCCGTCAACATGAAGGTCCTGGCTGTGACTCTATTGGCTCTGGTAGCGGTCTCCTCCGCGAGGAACATCGACCTCGAAGATGTGATTGATCTAGAAGTCATCACTGCCTATGGTTACCATACCAAGGTTGGTGGCCCCTTGGCTGAGAAGATCCGCATAGCTGAAGAAGAAGCTGCCCTCAATCCATCCAGGATTGTTGGGGGTTCCACTGCCAGTCTCGGTCAATTCCCATACCAGGTGAATAATATTATTTTATGTCCTATTTGTAAGAAACATTTCCCGTTGGTAGATCGATATCGGTCTCGATAGATCGATCGGCTTTCGAAGCCCGGGGCTCAGGCCCAGCTCTGGCTTATTTACCAACAAGGAATAAAGACACCAAAAATAGTGAGTAATACTAAGACAGGCAAAATATGTAAATCAAAACTATAATGGTTTCTATTAACCAGCCATTAAATACATTCAATGCGAGTTCCTGTAATTGAGCTTTTGATTAAAACTAATCGTAAAATATTCTAAACTGAAATGATATTCTGCAGGCTGGTCTTATTGCTGCCATGCCCGGATGGAATGGTGTGTGTGGTGGTTCTTTGCTCAACTCTAGAAGGGTACTTACCGCTGCTCACTGCTGGTTTGACGGACAAAACCAGGCCAGGAGCTTCACAGTAGTACTTGGTTCAGTTCAACTCTACAGTGGCGGTACCAGGCTGACCACCAGTAGTGTAGCCATGCACGGAAGCTGGATGCCTAGCCTTGTTCGTAACGATATAGCTATGATCACCTTGCCTTCTGCAGTATCTACTTCTAGTAAGTATTGTTCTAAATAATTGTACATACAATTTAATAAGTATGTTATCATTGATCCATCATATCTATAGTTCCACGGTAAACATATGACTATGATTAAATGTTACATATTAAAATTTAAATACAAAAGATATGTACACGAAAATTATTATTTATTAATCATTCATAACGATAACAGATGCATTTCCTATTTTTCAACAGACAACCTTAACTTCATCGCTCTGCCCTCTGGAAACGAGCTCAACAACCAATTCGCTGGTGCAACCGCAACTGCATCAGGCTTCGGTCTCACCAGAGATGGTAAGAATGCTATGTATTTTTTTGAGCATTAACTCGTCGAGTACCGGTTTTGTAGACACAATTATAGAACAATAGGTTGCGGTCACCGGTGACCGCTTGGTGTTTGACAGTTTAATGAACGTGAAGAACCCACAATAATGGTATTTGCCTACAATAAAGGATAACTGGATAAAGCTCTAACTTCGTTTATGCAATATCTTACAATTACTAGCTCTTGACGAATGTTAAATCTCAATTAATATTTGGTACCTAATAATAATGTTGTTTAAGGTGGAAGTGTTAGCGGAGCCCTCAGCCACGTCAACTTGCCTGTGATCACTAACGCTGTGTGCCGCAGTACCTTCCCTGTTTTGGTTCAGTCATCAAACATTTGCACCAGTGGCGCTGGCGGCAGAAGCACTTGCAACGGTGACTCCGGTGGTCCTCTTGTTGTGAACAGCGGCGGCAGACGTATCTTGGTGCGTTAACCTTATAGTTCTGTTCGTGATATCTAATGACCATTATATAACACTGTTATTAATCTGCGCTGCATGATTGGCTGGGTAACCACCCAGCCACTATGCCATAATAACCGGTTAGCTGGTAAGCAACGTGTCGAGGATTTGTTTTTCACAAAACCATTTTCGTTGTGAAATTAGGTTTAGCAGGTAGGTTGTAGGTATATGGCAAAGAAGAAAATACTGTTAGGTACTTAGGTTTTTATTAGAAAATATAATGCATCATTTTCTTATTAACAGGTTGGTGTGACTTCCTTCGGACACATTGACGGCTGCCAGCGTGGTCACCCCGCTGTCTTTGCCAGAGTCACATCTTACATCAGCTGGATCAACCAACGTCTTTAAATAGATGAAAAAATGTACAGTGGAGTAAATTGACAATAATTATAACAATTAAATACTCACGTTGCTATTACAAAAATTTCTTTTATTTTTTTTTTCTTTGCCTCTTTTACCCACATTAAAATCGATGTTTTAATTGTCATTTAATAGTACTATAGTGATACTAACTTTTGATACGTATTTCATTGGGACACCATGGTTTCACGACCAGTCACGCAACCGTGATGGAAATGGCTCTTCTCCTCGAAAGAGAAAAATTATGAATAATCGTTACTTTTCCTCTATTACAAGGAATTCTTCATCCATTACAATGAAAGGTAAATAGGGTAAATGCCTAATTTTTATTATAATGTCCGTCTGGTAGATTATTTTAAATCATTAGACACGTATTTTTTATTTTCTTACAGAAACGAATACTTCCGACGATAATACATCACGTTTTAGCCCCCACTCCAAAATTTGATTCTTTTTATCTAAGTATTGTTTTATTATACGACATAATAAAAAATACGTGCTTAATATTTTTTCATTACCTAACTTACGGACTAATTATATTTTTAATTTTCATACCCTGTCACCATTCCAATTCTTGTTAAAAGTCAACAAGGCTCTCTGGCTTTGTTAATACTAACATAAAAAATATGAATAGAATTTAATAGATGTTTATTTATTAACCGACTTCAAAAAAAGAAGATTGTTCTCAGTTCGACCTGTGTGTATGTATGTTCGTGCGCAATTATCTCGCGATTCTGATGCGAATTGATTGATGAGATTCGATTCTCGAATTTTGATGCGGTTTTCAGAAAAGTGTTTGTAGTGCTTAGTTGAAAGTGTTAGTATATTAATTAACCACCTTTATAAAAAGAGTGATTAAGTCAAGTCAGTTTTTTGAAACGTGAAAAATACATTATATTATTATTAACTCGTCGAGTACCGTCATTATTGACACAATTATAGAACAACAGGTTGCGGTCACCAGGGACCGCTTGGTGTTTGACAGTTTAATATGGTATTTTTGTAAGTAAAACATCATTGTAAGAAATCAAAATCGAAGAACCGACCTGCTCCAGCAGAATGCATCCGTATCCGTATCCGTATATTCACGAGTATGACGTGTGTATGAACGGAACAACCCAACATACAGCGAAACTGACTGTAGGACGTTTATGTGTGCCGACGCCTCAGCCCTTATTACATTGGCTAATTTCAAGAGAGCCTACAACAGTCCAAAGTTAATTTGTTAGTTTTCTATATCGACATATTTCTGCATACACATTTCCTCATGTTGCATCCGCTTCATCACAAGGAACATTGCCTGCCCTTTTGATGGCTATTTTTAGGTCGAAGTCCTTAATCCCTTCCTCGCTCCCATCAGCCACTTCCTGAATAGTTTGTTTATCGCGGCTTCATCGTTATCTGTATTCAAAACCTGTTGGAAGCCAATTTTACTCAATCGAAAATTCGCAATAAAATATCTCTCTCTGGCAGTTACAACGGATTATTACTAGAATCGCACAGGCGGGGTTTCTCTATTCGCAGAATTTCTAACGTCTTATACGACCCAACCCAACGACCTTCCGTCTTTGCAGTCGAAGAATAAGTTTCCTCTTGTTTATACTAAACTATAAATAAATAAATATCTTAACACGTCAATCGCCATGGGGGTCACCGGTGACCGGAGTTAGCGGAGGATTTGCTTTAAATCGTTTTTTATTGGCAGTCAAAGACTTAATACTATAAACTTTTTGCAGATTAATTTTATTTTTTTGGCCAATTTTTGTCGTTCGATGCGAACAGACGTATTTATAACTTACTATTGAATTAATGCAACAGTGACCTACTAAATTACTTTTGCTGATACTGTAACTTAGTATTTTACAATGAAAACATAATCCAATCATAGTAGTTTGAAAATGGATAAAATACCGAATAATCTGGCTTCCTGTGCCTCACCAATAGGGAGCAGCCGTAAGTCTGGCTTCTCTATAGAAGCTGTGTCCACGCCCGACATTCAGAACTGGATGGCAAGCATTGAGAGGCAGTTGAACGAAGTATGTATTATTGCCACAGAGGGCAAACTCAATTCGGAGCAAAAGCTCAAAATTTCGAACTTGAGCCGAAAAATTGGTGCTGATGTGTCGCAAATGGCTGTCCTCTACCAAGCTTTAAAGCAGCAAGCCCGCTTAGCCGTCAACATTATGGATGAATTGAGGGAAAAACAAGATCTATCAGACCAAATGTTGGAGATCAAAAACACTCTCAAGAACTCAAATACAACAAAAAACGAGTCTTTCGCCGATATGGTGAAGAAAGGTAAAAGTTTCGTGCGACCTAACAACTTGTGCTCTGTTGCTATTTATCCAATAAATAAACAGAAGTCTAGTGATGAAACTAAATCGATTGTGCAAAAAATTATAAGTCCTGAAGAATTGAAGCTACATGTGCGAGGAGTCCGTCGAACTCAAAATGGAGGTGTTATAATTAGCACAGAAACCAAAGAAGATGCCGTCAAAGTCAAGGATGCAGTAGGCATATCGTTGTCTGGACTCTTTGCTGATGAACCCAAAAAGCGCCAACCACGACTCACAATTATAGGAGTGCCGACGTCCATGAACGATGCTGACGTAATTAAATGCATATACGAGCAGAACATAACTGACAAGTTCCCAGATATGTCATTAGAGTCCTTTTTAACGGCTGTTAAAATAAGTCACAAATCTGGAAAAAAGGATGCATCGACCTGTAACTTCATAGTAGAGTTTCCAGCAAAGATACGTAAAGCCCTTATATCCCAAGAAAGGCTTTACATAAACTGGACTTCTTGCCCTGTCAGAGATTTTACGCTCGTCACCAGATGCTACAAATGTCAGCAATATGGTCACGCAGCAAAAACGTGCCGGGAGCTCTCCCCATCGTGTGGCCACTGTGGAGAAGTGGGACATTTAACATCTGCGTGTACTAAGAAAGTGGAGTCCCTTAAATGCGCAACTTGTTCTCGGTTTAACAAACCCAGCCAGCATAAAACTGGAGACGTTGAGTGTCCCGCCAGGAAGATAGCGGAATATCGGTACATCAACTCAATCGACTATGAGGGCGCATAAAAACGCATCACACTCTAGGTCTTTCCGAGTTGGTTAGCCTTTGCCCTACTAAACAACAGTTACACAACATAACAGCCTTATTAGCTACCTAAGCAATTAATTTCATATTATTGTAATTAGAAAATGACCGAATGTATTGTAACCTAGTTTATATTCCTGCTGATGCTTGCAATTCCTAGGTCGTAGTGATATGTTGTAATTCTGAATAAATGTTAATGTTAGGTATATACTATAATGTTGCAATATTTTTGCCTATCCCTTCGGGGATTTATTGTATGTAAGTAGGTATATTTTACGTATAACAAATAATTAAAATTGCACCTCTGCCTATCTCTTATGAGAAAGTAGAGTATGAGGTTTTATTTTGTATGTATGTATGTTTATTAAAATAATGATATTGTTTACTGTTGCATAATGATAAGTATGTAGTTACGTTTTTAGAAATAAGATGTCTTCCTACAAAAGTAATGTATAGAGCTCCTTTCGCCTTGCGATACAGGATTGTCCTAGTGCAGGCATCTAACTTTATGAGATCAATTTTACTTACTTGAAACATATTTTTGTATTTTGCATTTTTGAATTATGAATAAATTTTATTTCATTATGTTTATTTTTTTATTGCAACCAGATGTTCCAAAAACATCGTTTCCATCTTACAGTCGTTAAACCAGTTGAATTTATTTGCTAGTGGCTTAACATGCAGCTTATTGAGAACTTCCCCCCCTTTAAAATATTGGAATGTGTTGTTAATTTTACACATTTTATTTATTTCTTTCTTTACTATTTTTCTTGATTTTTATTTGTTGTAACGGTGCTAGTAACCTGATTTTATTTTTGTCTTAATATTTTAAAAAGTATACGGACAGTCATAGTATCATTAACGGATCTTTCGACGATTGATCCTTACGAAATCATGTTGAAACGTGGGAGATTCCAATTGCCTTATAATCCTTCATATAATCATTTGATAGATATTGTTTCAAATTTAAATTTTAATCGCATTATCTAATAGAACAGTATATAAAAAGGCCATGCTTTGTGAATACTTCACATTTTGCTCATTACCGTTAACATGAAGGTCTTGGCTGTGAGTCTATTGGCTCTGGTAGCGGTCTCCTCCGCGAGGCACATCGACCTCGAAGATGTAATTGATCTAGAAGTCATCACTGCCTATGGTTACCATACCAAGGTTGGTGGCCCCTTGGCTGAGAAGATCCGCATAGCTGAAGAAGAAGCTGCCCGCAATCCATCCAGGATTGTTGGTGGTTCCACTGCCAGTCTCGGTCAATTCCCATACCAGGTGAGTAGTATTAACTTATATATTACGTTACTAGTATTTTTGTTATTAAATCTAATCATTCAGACACGTATAACAACTCTTTGTGTACTCCACAAAATTATTGTTATACATCTGAATGTCATGTGTATCTGATTATGTATGTTTGCGCATCCACTTCACAGGAGAAAATCCATATGTGGAGCAACATTTATTTAATAGAAAAAGAAGCTCACACCCTATTACATGTGACTTATAACATAAAAAGTGAAAAGTGGGTGTTACATTGTACAGTAGCATAATGTGCCTTCGGGGATAAAAGGTGTGATGTTATGTTAAAAAAACGTTCTATTTTAAGCTGACTATACCACCAGGCGAGATAGTGGTCAAACGTCGCCCCATTAAATATATATATATATAAAAAAAGAAATAATATTCCACAGGCTGGACTTATTGCTGCCATGTCCGGATGGAATGGTGTTTGCGGCGGCTCGTTGCTCAACTCCCGGAGGGTACTTACCGCTGCTCACTGCTGGTTTGACGGACAAAACCAGGCCAGAAGCTTCACAGTAGTACTTGGTTCTGTTCAACTCTACAGTGGCGGTACCAGGATGACCACCAGTAGTGTTGCTATGCACGGAAGCTGGATGCCTAGCCTTATTCGTAACGACATTGCTATGATCACCTTACCTTCTGCAGTATCTACTTCTAGTAAGTATTACTATTCTAAACTAGTTTCTGCCAGTCCAGTACACTTCTACAGTTTTATTATATGTGTATGTATATGTATTCTGAAGTTCTGATGTAGGTATTTTATATTTTTTCAACAGACAACCTGAACTTCATCGCCCTGCCTTCTGGTAACGAGCTCAACAACCAATTCGCTGGTGCAACCGCAACTGCGTCAGGCTTTGGTCTCACCAGAGATGGTGAATATGATTTTTTTTATGTTTGAACAATGGTCGAGTTTGCGTAGTTATTATTGTAAGTTTAATAAATTATGCTAAGCGCCATCTAGTGTATGAAGCTTGAATTGACTTCGTTATTAAAAATATTATTGGGGTGCCGTAAAATTGAAATTTTAAGATCTTTGGGGTCGACTTATCTCTGTCAGGTCTTAACAAATGTTAGTTTTATATGAATATTAAAATTCCTAATAATAGTATCTAATTCTAATGTTGTTTAAGGTGGAAGTGTTAGCGGAGCTCTCAGCCACGTCAACTTGCCTGTGATCACTAACGCTGTGTGCCGCAATACCTTCCCTGTCTTGGTTCAGTCTTCAAACATTTGCACCAGTGGCGCTAGCGGCAGAAGCACTTGCAGCGGTGACTCTGGTGGTCCTCTTGTCGTAAACAGCGGTGGCAGGCGTATTTTGGTGGGTTAACCTCATATTTCTGTTCATTATAATTATCAATATAAGTGATAAAACGATTATGGACATAATTAGGACATTTTTTAACCTGCACTGTTCGATTCTCGAACGGAATAATTTTGTATGATTCACAAATTGTTGTTTCGGGTATGGATGTATTGTCTATGTGAAATTATAAGCTTAACTCATGGCACTCCTTAGTTATGTGTGAAAACTGTAATCTGAAACAAGGCTTTTATAAAAAATGCATCATTTTCTTATTAACAGGTTGGTGTGACTTCCTTCGGACACATTGACGGCTGCCAGCGTGGTCACCCTGCTGTCTTCGCCAGAGTCACGTCTTACATCAGCTGGATCAACCAACGTCTTTGAATTATATGAGAAAATGTAAAGTGGAGCAAAATGACGATTTAATTAAGCTTTATAATCGAAAAATGATTAAAACTTACGATGTTATCAACATCTTTTGTTTTTGTTATTCAAAAATGCCTGGTTTAATCTACTTTATTTCACAAAATGTGATAATGTTTGATAACATAATTACATTAGCGTTCATGCACACGGTGGCACCGCCACGTTGCCACCGCACTGCCGCGCCGGCATGCGTGTTTGTCATTCCATTGCCGGCCGCGTACGAACATGCGCACAGTCCGGTAATGGAATAAATCAAACAGAGAGAATAAACGCGGCGGCGGGGTAGCGCGGTAGCGCAGTGGCTGCTAACGTGTTAAAATAAAAAGTTGTCTAATTTACTTATTTTTTACTCACATTTGAAATCAGTTTATTGACTATTCAGTCTTGCATCTAAACCATTTGGCATTTGGCTACGCTGCGCCTCACGTATGCTAATTGCGTAAATAGAGTGCACAGTTATATCCATTTAACCATTCCTCCCATTTTCCTGTAGCTTTGACTCGCAAAATTAGCTATATGCGTCTGTGTAGTCTGTATTCAATATTCATATTATGCATGTAAAAGTATGCCTTTTCGTTTGTTAGTCCGTCTTTCACCGCAAAATAGAGCAACGAATTGACTGCCCCTTTGGCCGAGTGGTCGTAAGTGCGACTGCTGGGCAAGGGGTCTCGGGTTCGATTCCCGGGTCGGGCAAAGTATTACTGGGTTTTTAAATATTCTTAGTAGTAGCACGGAGTCTGGAATTGTGCCCGGTATATGGCAATAGGCTCACCCCCTATTACAAGGGACTCATAACATAAATAGTGAAAAGTGGGTGTTACATTGTACAGTGTATAATGTGCACCTCTGCCTACCCTTTCGGGGATAAAAGGCGTGATGTTATGTTATGTAATTGACGTGACTTTTTAAACGGAGATAGTTGAAGAGATGGAGTGGTCATGTATAGAGCATTCCGCAATTTTCAAGATAGAAGTTTAAAAATGATTATGCGTAATATTTGTTACTAACAATAACAAATCATGCGTATGTTTTTTTAATCCGGCCTCTTGTGGCCTAAAAAGGAAAAGGAAGCTAGACCCTTAGACGAAAGACTGTCATCAATTACTAAAATGAGAAAAAAACTAAAATATCAGACAAGGCATACCTTGAATTTCTAGCGTTAGACATAACGCGGTATATTGTAATTGCTTGTCAATTTGTAGAACTATTCGTACCTTTTTTCCTATAGGTAACTCATTATAATAATACTCAATTTTCAATATTGACTCACTGATCATCTTGTTATACGTGCAGTTGCCGTTATGTACCGAAGGCCTGAAGGTATCTTCTTTTAAAAACTATACTTTAATGGCCTAAGAATATTCAGATTGAAATAAATCATCTTGTATTTAAAGTTTTTTCCTTATTGCAACTTCAATAGCCATTTAAAAATGAGTCAATAATTATGAATAATCGTTCAATTTATCAGCATGAACTCACGTTGATAGATCAAAATTTTAAATCGGATGACTTAAATCCCTTTGTTTAAATCGGATTACCTATAAAAAAGGTATATAAGAATGCACAATCGTCTGTTTGCACATTTATCAGTTGAATATTGCACTGCATAATCCAGAATTCAAATTTATTTGCTCATTGCTGTCAAGATGAAGCTCCTGGCAGTGACTCTACTTGCTCTAGTAGCGATTTCCTATGCAAAGCACATTAACCTTGAAGATGTGATCGATCTAGAAGAGATTACTGCATATGGCTACCACACTAAAGTTGGTGGACCGTTGGCCGAGAAGATCCGCAAAGCTGAGGAAGAAGCTACCCGTAATCCAACCAGAACTGGACCTTTTCCTGCCATTCTTGGTCAATTTCCTTATCAGGTGAGAAGTATTTCCATAAAGTTATTAGAGAATGAAAAGAGAAGCTAATGACAGATTTACTGACATGATCTCTAAAACTACAGTTATGTAAATAACTGTCGTTCTATATATAAGCCGACCTAATTTATAATAAGGAACCAATGACTATGTTAGGCTTAAGCTATCAACAATTGAAACTTTGTTTAAGGCTTAAAATGATTTTTCTTCCTTTCTTTATTTCTCTATCAAAAACAATTGTATCAAATCGTAAGGCATCTCTGATAGAACTCAATATTTGGCAGGCTGGTCTTATCATTGACTTAAATGGATGGAGTGGTGTTTGTGGAGGTGCTTTGCTCAACATGAGAAGAATACTCACCGCTGCTCACTGCTGGTTTGACGGACATAATCAGGCTAGCGGAATCATAGTGATTCTGGGCACAATTAATTTGTTCAGCGGTGGTACCAGGGTGATTAGTGATAGCGTTTTCATGCACGGTTCCTGGAATCCTAACCTTGCTCGTCATGACATCGCTATCATTAATTTGCCTTATGCAGTATTTCCATCAAGTAAGTACAACTTGAAGTAAAATTGATATGGTCTGATTATTTCAGTTAGAAAGTAAGTAAGTAAGAACGTTATAAATGTTTTAATATGGAATAAAGCCGGTAAACGAGCAGACGGATCAACTGAGTGTAAGCAATCGTCGCTGCCCATGGACATGTGAAACACCAAAAGTGTTTCGGAGATTGGGAATTTGAAGATTGTTGGGGATTCGGTTATTGGGGAGAGGGGTAATTGTTCCTTCAGTAACCTCACTCACACGACGAAACACATTGCAAGTGTTGTATCGCGTCGGTTTTCTGTTAGGCGGTGTTCCAGTGGAATCGACCAATTCGAGCCGAAGCATAGCTCTCCCACAGTTGTGTTTTATTTACATACCTAAACTTGGTTTGTATAAACACCTGGGAAAGTCTCTAATAGTTTCAAGTGACAGGGAAGAGTTTTACTTAGTTATTTACGTGAGTGGTCCTGCATTTTCAATTGATCCAGTACATACGCTTTAGGATAGTAATTATACAAACTAAATTTCGTTTTTATAAGTTAATTTAACGAGTGCATGACAAACACTCTTGCGAAATGTTCAAAATAAAAAAGGTTTTTTTGATAAGCGCGGTGTAAGTGTTACTAAAAACCTAATAGATTTATCTCTCTGTTTGTTTTTTGTATAGATACCATTGGTTTCGTTTCGCTACCAGCCATCAGTGATCTCCAGAACTCATTCACCGCTACTATAATTGGCTACGGTCGCACTGCAAGTGGTAAGACATTCAGTAATATAGAAATTCATTGATGTGAAACCTACAGCTCGAATAAAATTTTAACAATTCCCTAGTTTAACGAGTTGCATTAAGAAAATATTTTTTATGCCGCAATCACATGGTCACGTATACCTGAATTGAAGTTTGAGGTGAGAGTAAGAGGGAATTTGAACAGCACTGTTATTAGTATGGCATCATAGAATTTTTGGATTGGAGAGTCAGACCTTTTACCTTATACATATACAGAAATATTGTAATCAGTGTAATCTACCAATGTATTTCAGGTGGAATGCTTTACAGAGATCTACACTTCGCCGAAGTCCCTGTAATTACAAATTCCGAGTGCCAAAACAGCTTCCCTGGCTTGATTCAGCCTTCCAGTATCTGTATCAGCGGAGCTTCTGGTATATCAGCTTGCACTAGTGATGCTGGTGGTCCACTTGTTGTCAATAACAATGACAGTCATATCTTGGTATGTTACCTTTTCATCTTACATACAGTATACCAGTGCACCTACCTGTAAAATTTTTAATTCGATTATCAACTTTATTGTTTATTGTAACTAAATTGACAGAATCAACGTAGGTTCATCTTCTGGCTACCTGTGTAACGTTCATGAAGTCATCACTTAATTGTTTTTGTGACCTTGATTAATTCATTGCATTGGTCTCATTTTGTTTTGTATTTCTTTAAATAAAAAACAATTGTAAGCGCAATTGCTGACCAAATAGTTTTGGGTTCAATTCGCTGAATCGAGGCCACAACTGCTGAGAGAAATAATGGGAATCTGAAATTGTGGCCTGAGTACACATACCGCCATACTTATAGATGTGCCGTCTTAGGATATTCAGAACAACTGAAAAATCAGTGGATGTAACATTTTTAAAAAGTATGTAAGAATGGTAGCAATTGGCGTTAAATAATCTCTGCCTATTCCAATGGGAGACACGCGTGAAGTTATGTATGTTTGTTACATTTTAAATAAGTATGTCTAGGTTGCATTTTCTATTTTTTCCTTTGAGAAATAATATTATATGATTTTATGTTTACCTAACTTATAACAGAATAAAGTTGATTTTATATTATTTTCCAGATGGGCGTACATTCCTTCGGACACATTCAGGGTTGTCGATCGGGTCATCCAGTAGCCTACACCAGAGTTACCTCTTACATCAGCTGGATCGTGTCTCGTCTTTGAATTGACATAAAAAGATTAAAAATTTATTAGTCTTGACCATGCTAGTAATTTTTCTACCATTCAATAATTAAAGTGCATCAATTTATTTATTTTTTAAACCACTTATATCGCTTAATATAGTAAGAGAATATTAGATTTCGTGAGAAAAATTGTTTAAAATTTTATTTATTTACTTATTATAACGCCTTACAATATGATATCTTACAGTTTATTCCAATGCAATATCATATTTCCTGACATATTTAGGTCCAACGTGTAACTTAATTAATAATTAACATCTTAATTAATTAATAGACCTAATAAGAGTTACATACTCTAAGTATGACATACATATTTTGACAATATAGACACAATTACTCAATATGGTGATAATCAACACAACAACAATAAACCTTGGTATTTGCTATTTATATAAATGTTTTTATCATATTTTGTCTAAATATAAATGAAATTGTGTAAACAGTTCAAAGGAACACCAGTTCCCAGCAGATTAATGCTCAAAATAATAACAAAAATTGTGCAGGTAATAATAATCTCATACCATAAGTATTACATAATTATAATTCATTAAACGACGGTAAAAAAAAATACAATAATTCAAAGTCAAAGTCAAAATCATTTATTTCAATTGACCCAGAAAGGCACTTTTGAACGTCAACAAAAAATTAAAAGTGAAGCTATTTGGTCATTCCAAGGTGTAGATTTATATGCAAAAGAACGAGCAAGAACCTCCATTGGTTACTCTTTTTCAATCAGGTTCACAACACAATTCTCTAGTTACATAGTTTTTTTGGTTCGATTGTGCGAGAACAATGTAACACCAAAATCCAGTCAAAGAGATCGTAAAAGAAAATAACATTAAGGACAATAAATAAAACAGTCTGAAGCTGACTTGAATTTATGCTATAGCATTAAAATGCTTTTGCTATAATTGTTTCGATCGACATTCAATGCAATCAATTTTACATTACATACATAATACACTTAAAATTTTACATTACATACATAATAG